TATATATATAATGTGTTTTAATTATACAACTAAGTTATTGTTGTTTATTTTTCTAATTAATGTTTTATATTTTACAGTTCAGCTTGTGTCTTATTTACTGAATTTGCCAAAGTGATAGATCAGATTTATTTTTCATTGGAGCAAACCATTTGAATTATTTAAGTTATTTTACTCTGACATTCTTATGATGAATATTGTGATTTTAAAAAGGTGGTTCACAAAAATAATTTTACAATTTCCACAAACAATACAGGGAAGTTAAAAACACCAAAACAGGAAGTAACATAGCGTCTACATGGAAGTAACCGAGTTAATGGTTTTGTTTTGGTTAAGCTGATTCCCAAAGACTAACACTAAAAACAGTTCACCTTTTAAAAGTGGTTCAGAAAGATTGTAGTTAAAATATACATACATTCAGAAAAACTCCTGATATTGTAGATATTATGTGATTTGTGATAAAATGTGCAAAAAAGGTTTTGTCACCTGAACACAAAATTAACCATAAGAATACCATGACTTTGTATGGGGTGCCGTTTGTAAAGTTACACAGTCAAAAATTACCACCAATATTTTTGTTTTATTTAGCCTTTTATAAGAAAAAATGAACAGATTTATTTTTCAAAGTCAGTTTTTCACCATATGATTCATACATTTATAAATATCATAGTTTATAAACTAAATATTTAACTTATAAGTTAAATATTTAGTTTATAAACTATGACATTTATAAATGTATGAATCATATGGTGAAAAACTGACTGAAAATAAATCTGTTTTTTTTCTTATAAAAGGCTAAATAAAACAAAAGTATTGGTGGTAATTTTTGACTGTGTAACTTTACAAACGTCAGCCAATAACTTTCTGTTTCTGTGTGACTATTATGTTCTGTAAAGAACTCACCTAAAGGAGTTATCCCATAAAACTCAGCTTCATGTCGCAGGACGCTGATGTTGACACCTCTACAGAGAGAAAAAAAAAGCATCAAATGCATTTTGAAAAACCCAGTTCACAAAACAACAAATTCCACCTAAAACAGTCAAAACCATTTTCTGAAACTGTATTTGACATCTTACCGTAAGTCCAGTTCTTTGGTTCGGAGGAAATTGAGAATTGGTGCGAAAGCTGTTGGATCTCTGTCAATAAATATCTACAAATGAGAAGTTAAAGACTTTAACCAACCAGGAAAAGTTACTGGTAAAGATTAAACATTCAACACTGTGACTTGATCATATATCAGCTGACTTGAGCATTTTTAAAGAAAATAATAACTTGTGTCACACTTGATCTAATCTCCCTATTTTTTTCTTTCTAATGGTGCGTTCACACCGAACGCGATTTCAGCGTCAGGAGCAGCAGGTTTACATGCAAAGTCTATGGTGGACGCGCTTCAAGCAACGTCGG